ACCAACCTGTTTTGATGTCGCACTCTGAAGGAGAGTGGCGGTGTATCCTTCAGCTTTCCCGGATGGTGGCCGCTGACTGCCTCGGCGGAGTGTCCGCTGTGGGGGATGGGACTGTACCGCTTCCTTCCCCTTCTGAGAACCCGAGCTCGGCCCAAGGGTCCGTGTGGGCTTGGCTGGTGGGATTCCACCTAATGTTTATTAGATCTTAAAAGAGATCATAAGAGCAGAGGAGTACTTAAGACTAGAGCCTTGGGTTTGAAATAGGGAAGAGTAGGAAGAGAGATGGGAAAGTTCACATCACCAATCTACACATTAACCTTGTCAGACCCACTGGAAACTAACAGGGATCTGGCAGCACTGAGGAAACTGGGAATAGCTGATAAAATTAGAAAGTGGAAACATCTAGAAAGATCCACTCGCATTTATACAAAACAAAGTCACTTGGACATGCCTTCGATGAGACTTGCCTATTTCATCATTGAGAAGTAGCAACTGTCCTCCCTGAGCCATATCTGGGAACACCAAACTGCTCACATGGTCAGACAAGAGTAGATAGAGCAGGAACTCCCTGCTGGAGCAGAGAGACTGAATGTAAAACAGGCATTAACACCAGGACTGCTCCTTTTTTCCATGGGACCGTGTGGTCACTACCACATTTTAGAGGTGAGGCAGTGAAGAAACTGATGAAGCATCCCTTTTGGGGAGAAAATTATCCTCCCGAATGACAGTCTCTTTATTAATGGCCAGTTTCACCTCGGAGGTGTAACTCATGTGCTTTTCATGTTTTAGTAGCTGCCCAAAGCTACTCCCACTAAAAATAGCACCAGCAGCCATGAAAATAAGCCTTTCATGACCCTTTTTATTTTACAAAGCACCTGCAATTTCTCTCATTTGAGCCTCAAAATAACTTGTGAAGTATACAGAATGAGTCTTATTGTCCTCATTTTATAGTCAGGCCAACCTAAATCCAAGGCAGTTAAGAGGCTTGTCCAAATCATGCATTGGCAGATTTGYCCTAGAGCGCAGCCCAGCTGACACCAGGACAGGTCTACGGTRCCATGCTTCCTCACTTTTCTTCCTCTGCAGCCCCTGCGGGTCAACAGCCAGCCTGGGCCCCAAAAGCGATGCCTCTTTGTGTGTCGGCACGGGGAGAGGATGGATGTCGTGTTTGGAAAGTACTGGTTATCCCAGTGCTTTGATGCCAAAGGTGAGTACAGTAATCCCACTCCTTTTTTTCTCCACAGTTTTGCCTTCTTTGGTTTCAGTTGACCACAGTCAACCATGGTCTGAAAACATTAAGTGGAAAACCCCAGAAATAAACAAGTCATAAGTTTTAAATTACACTCCATTCTGAATAGTATAATGAAATCTCAGTGTCCAATTCCATCCTGCCTAGGTGGATCATCCTTTGTTCAGGGTATATACATTATATATGATACCTACCTTTAGTCACCTAGTAACTCGCCTGGCTATGAAATCTACTGTCACAGTATCACAGTGCTTATGTTTGAGTAGTTCTTACATACTACCCTGATGTTAAGTCTCAATGCCCACATCTTTCACCTCACTTTACTTCACCACATAGTTATTGTATCATTTCACAATACAAGAAGAAGATTGAGTACAATGCAGTATAATATTTTATGAGAGACTACGTTCACATAACTTTTTTTTTACAGTATGTTTTTACAACTATTTTATTATTAGTTATTATTGTTAATCTCTTATTGTGCCATATTTATGAATTAAACTTTATCCTAAGTATGTTCATGAAGGAGATAGCATAGGATGCATAGGGTTCAGTACTATCTGTGATTTCAAGCATCCCCTGTGGTCTCCTAACATCTCCTACCTATAAGGGGGATTTACTCTTTGTAGTTGGTTGGCCTGCTTAGCATTGGCATACCTATCATGGCCTCTAGGGGGCATAGTCAAGCTATGTAATTTATGTACATGGTCTTATTTATAGGTTTGAATACTATCGAAAAATGCATGCTATCTATAAGTCCTTACTGAATGTCTTGAATTTTAGGAAAGAGATAAGTGTTCTTGTTCCCGCTCTATAAACTGAGAAACCAAGGACCAAAAAATAAATTACTTGCCCATGGTCATATGGCAAAGTCCATTGGAGAAGACAGTGATTCCATGGCCAGAGTTTCTTCCATTAAACTCTGTATGGCCAGCATGGTGTAGTCCTGCAAAGTAGGCCTGTCTCTTCCATTTTCATTTTAATTGAATGGCATTTTAAGATAGCGACTTGCCTGTCAGAAAAGTCCACCTACTTAGAATGTCTAGTTGTTATCATCACTTAGAAACTATCTCTTGTCACTTCCATTAACAGAATGGAAGAGTGGATTCCAAGACAGTCTACTGAAGAAATAGTGTCAGATTCAATATTTTCCATCAGCTCCTGAGAATTCAATTCAGACTCTGACTTAGAAGGAGGATATACCAGGATTAACAAGAGAAGTCTTCAAATAAAAAGTCTGACCTTTTTATTTTTCCCAGGCCGCTACATACGCACCAACCTGAACATGCCTCATAGCTTACCTCAGCGGAGTGGTGGTTTCCGGGATTATGAGAAAGATGCTCCAATCACTGTGTTTGGGTGCATGCAGGCAAGATTAGTAGGTAAGTGTCCTGGGGCAATACATAGCATTTCCTGGCCCTTTTTCAAATGTTGAGTACCAAGTGTATACCAGGACACTTCCTGGGGTTATCTGTAACTTCCCTACATGTGATCTATTTCCTTTATTCAAAAGGGATTTATTACATAACTCAGGACAGTGGCTTGGTTTACCAAAGTGAACAAGACATGGTCCTTACTCAGGAGCATGATAGGAAAGGTCAAGCATGTTTTACTTACATCACTGCTATGCAGACAGGTCAGATTCTAGTTTAAGACAGCATCATTTACCAACATAGCTGTAAAAATAGGGCAAGGGTGAGGAGGGAAGCTTGGGGTTGCTGAATTTATAGAAGCCAATCGATGCTTTGATGACACTCAACTCTTTGCAGGCCTATTCCCTACTGGGCATGAAGAGGCAATACCTTGTTCTATTCTTTCCCTTAACAGACATGTATTGATTATTTACTGAGCTAGGTGTTAAGGACCATGCATGTTAGTCCCCACTCTAAGGGAAACCAACAGATGTGGACAAATATCATACCACATGGTATTCTGAGTAATAGAGGTATGCATCAAGTATTATGGGAGCGCCCGCACACGTGCGGGCATACACACACACACACACACACACACACACACACACAACACATGTAAAAGAAGAGATGTGAGCTGTGACCTGGAGTGGAAGTAGCTGAGGAAAAAGAAGCAGCAGGAGGAAGAGCAGGACATTCTTGGTAGCAAGACAGTGTAAAGAAAGTCACAGGTTAATAGCATCAAGAATGTGAGAGAAACAAACTGTCTTGTTTCTAAAGCATCTGTTTCAAGAGGCAGGGCAAGAGGTAGACTGGAAAGATTAATAAAGACAAGTTCCCAGAAGACTTTGACCACCATATTAAGGTGTCTGGATGTGGGGAGCCGCTCTGAATGACCACGCCTTCCAGGCCTGAAGCACGAGGCTCTGACCAATCACTACATTTCGTAGTGACTTGGGTGATGTTCCAGCTCAGACAGCAAGGCATGGCTCCAGGTGTAGGTGTCTGTCACCCGCAGGGTTGAGCTACCCTCACCTATTCCTTTGTAATCCTACCCCTTGCCTCATTTGAATGGCTTTTTCCCAATGAAAGGGTTCAGCATGTACTCTTTCTCTCTTTCCATGGACCCCTAAGGTCAGAGGATCCAAAGAAAAAGGTATTTCTCTGTCTCTGTGTGATTATTTCATGCCAGCCCAGTTCACCTGGAGTGACCTTGAGTGTTTAGCCATGGAATATGACATCTGGAGCTTGCCTAGTAGAGAAGAGAAGTGGATTTCATGAGGAAAGCATTAAGCATCAGCTGCACTTTATCTCTGGTGTGCAAGAACATGACCCATGGAGATTTTGGTTAACACAGAGTGACAGTAAAATAAGATTAATCCTCTCCCTTCTATCACAAGGAAGAGGTTAGAGCATTATCCTGTTCCCAGGTCCCTCCTAGGAGAACATTTTACAACTCGTTGACACCAGGGAGGAGGAAAGAAAAGGACAAGAAGGGGCCTGCCTGCTGCTTGGCCTCTCATTCAAACACCAATGAGGGGATTGTTGGAAACAAGGATGATACTGATGGATCTACAAGAGCCCCCAGTAGGAGAGAAAGGTCTAAGGAGTCTTCCTAGCAACCAARTGAAAGCCAAGTAAATCTATCGGACTGATTCTCCTCGGATTTTCTTCGCAGGTGAAGCCTTATTAGAAAGTAACACCATTATTGACCATGTCTATTGCTCCCCATCCCTACGCTGCGTTCAGACTGCACACAATATCTTGAAAGGTAAGATTCTCCATTGAAAGTCAACTAGTCCATCCCTCTGTCTCTAAGCACCTAATTATCATAGGATAATTATCATTATGGGATACTCACCAATTATAAGCTTTGAATCTGAAATTTTCAGCAGATTCTTTCATGAGGTGACTGATCTTGCACAAATCACAAAATCATACTATGACGACATAACCAGATAAAACAAAGTTTGCCAATAATGATTTTCCTGAGAATTTAAAGCTCTTTAGTTGTTGTTGTTGTTTTGTTTTTTGTTTTGTTTTGGGGGATTGAACCCATGGACACTCAACCACTGAGCCACATCCCCACACTTTTTATATTTTATTTAAAGACAGGGTCTCSCTGAGTTGCTTAGGCTGGCTTTGAGCTCAGGATCCTCCTGCCTTAGCCTTCGAAGCTTCTGGGATTACAGGCATGCGCCACCTCACCTGACTGCTCTTTTGGATAAATTGTGGGACTGAAAAATATTTAGAGCTTATAGAGCAGTGATTCTTTCTTTACACTTACATAGTAAATAATTTCACCCAGCTTTAATCTGTTGTTTGCCAATTGTTTACAGCAGCAATAGTACTCTTGGGAGTCTCCAATCTTAACCATCCTTATTTCTTTAGTTAATTGGAAAAACTATAAAAAKACTCAACTTTTACCCTAAAATCCATAGAACTTTGCATTATAGAGACCCCCCCACACACATACACCATTTTCATTTCATTRAAAGGAAAACTGAAGAAAACAGAATTAAGTGTGTACTTAAGCTAAACAAACAAATGAGCCATAAATGGACAAGCCAGCAAAGAGTTTGATACTATATTTGAGCCTTTAATTCTTTAACCCAAGTAATCCCTCCCTGCACGATGGTGAAGTACTTATATATTAAATTGGCATAGAAAAAAAAACTGGACTAAATGTAATATAAAAGGAGCTAAGCTAACAGAGACAATTCCTACCGAGAGTAATCACACTACAATAAAATCTAAGATTTGTGCACTGGTACTTTTAAATATTCAACATTAGATTTTCTGATAGGAAAAAATGAATAATTTACATGATAGTCAAATACAATGAAAGCTATTGTGTAGTAATGGATACTAAGAGAATATCTGAAGTTTTTTGGTCACACAATCATGGAATTTATTTTGGAAAGAGGAAATTACAGTAGTCACAGAATTGAACCAATTACATGGATAATGATTTGTGGGTTTTGTCCTGAAATCAGACACCAAACATCCTTAAAGCCAGCATACATTCTTGAGGTGCAGCCAGAGTATTAACTCATGTGTCAGTAAAACACAAAAAATTATAAGCCTTGTCCAAACCCACAGGCTTCCACTTCCTTCCAGGAGAAAGAATAACTGCTTTAACAGAATTGTGTAAGGATTTGGCCTAAAACTTATTTTTCCACTGAGAACATCATAGCACTTTCTTCATCTTCGTTTTATTTTACCTCTAAGGTTTACAACAAGAGAATCACTTGAAGATCCGCGTCGAGCCTGGCTTATTTGAGTGGACAAAATGGGTTCCTGGGAGCATGTTACCTGCGTGGATACCTCCTTCAGAGTTAGCTGCAGCCAACCTGAGTGTTGATACAACCTACAGGTAACCCTCTGAAACTGCTGCTTCCTGGAACCTGTGTGGAAACACTTTCCATGCTCTCACCAGACCAGGCTAATCCATTGGATGAAGGGCCAGGCATAGTCTGCAGGTAGTTGTCCATAAGTGGGAAGGCCAAGCTATGATTTGAGAAACCAAACCTGGAGAAAAGCCAGCATTCCCTTGCATTTAGGTGTGTTAGTCAGCTTTTCATSACCGTGATTTAAATACCTGACAAGGATAACTTAGAAGAGGAAGTTTATTTTGAGCTCATGGTTTCAGAGGTTCAGTCTATGATTGGTCAATTCCATCACTTTGGACCCTAGATGAGGCACATCATGGCAGAAGAGTGTGGTGAAGGAAAGCTGTTTAGCTCATGAAAGCCAGGAAGCTGAGAGAGAGGAAGGGGCCATAACCAGATATAGTCCAGACCATGCCCAGTGACCTGCTTCCTCCAGTCATGCCCCACCTCCCTACAGTTACCACCCAGTAATGCATACAGTCGATTAATCCACTGATGACATTGCATCTCTGATAATCTAATCACTGCACTTCTGAACATTTCTGCACTGCCTAATAGATGAGCTTTTCTTGGGACATTAAAGATTCCAATCATTAACAGTAGGATAGGGTGAATTATATTCTTCACCCCAACCCATGTCAGATTTTCCTGACTTTATTATATTTGTTTCAGTGGAATAACAAAACCATTTTGCATTCCAGAAACGTGTACTAGCCAATGATAATGTAATTCAGATGCTTGTTGGGAAATAAGGGAGGTGACAATGTGAATTTTCCAAAACATAATTTTCCTTATTATGTTCACTTGTTAGGGCTATCATCCTAGAATGTGAGCAAGTCACTTTTTTCTTTTTTTTTTTTTCTTTTCTTTCCTATTTTTTACAGTGCTAGGAGTGAATGGAACCCAGATCCTCACACATGCTAGGCAAGTGCTCCACCAACGAACTACATCCTGAGCCCAGCAAGCCACTTATATATGCAAGAGTTCAAGTGGCTTACCTAAAGTTATAAATATAGTGACTGACCACACATGAAAATAATGATGACAACTAAATTTATTGATCAATTTCTGCATACCAAGTACTGTGTACTCTTTACAGTCATTCTTATTCCTATTCTGTCCCTTTTGCCATTAGACCAGACTAACTGTATTGACATTTTTTTTCCTTTAATGTATAGACTGCTCCCAGCTGATAATCCACATGCATACTTCAGCATCAACCAGTGAGCTAGGTGTGGTGGTGCATGCCTGTAATCCCAGCAGCTCAGAGGCTGATGCAGGCAGATCATGAGTTCAAAGCCAGCCTCCTCAATTTAGTGAGGTCCTAAGAAACTTTGTGAGGCCCTGTCTCTAAATAAAATATTTTTTTAAAAAAGGCTGGGATGTGACCCACTGGCTAAGTGCCCCTGAGTTCAATCCCAGGTACCAAACCAAAAAAAAAAAAAAATCAACCAATGATAATACAGTTACATTGACTATTGAAAATCCACTAAAGCTATGTAAACTCTCTTTGAGGAAGGACAGAAGTCACAACCATGATAATGGGAAATTAAACTTATATTTCTTAGAGTAGAATTTGGAACAAGTGACCAATGTTAATGCTAGCTCTGTTTCTGGTAATATCTGTTGAACTTTCATTTCAAATACCTACCCAAACCACCAATGAAACAATGTGAATTTCTGGCTAAGGTAGGAGAGGTTATCCTTTTTTACCCTAATATTTTTACTCTGCAGATAAGATGTCAGATAACTCCTTCTTTAATTGTGTGCTACATCTTCTTTCCTTAAAAGAAATTAGCATTCCTCAAAAATAAAATTACACCAGGCACCCTGGCACACATCTGTAATCCCAGAAACTCAGGAGGCTGAGGCAGGAGGATGGCAAGTTCAAAGCCATCCTGGAAAACTTAGTGGGGCCATCAGCCACCCTTTCTCAAAACAAAAAAATAAAAAAGGCTGAAGCTGGGTGCAGTGGTACACTATAATCCCAGCAACTTGGGAGGATGAGGCAGGAGGATAGCAAGCTCAAAGCCAACCTCAGCAACTTGGTGAGAACCTGTCTCAAATTTTTAAAAAATTAATAAAAAGGGCTTAGAATGTGGCTCAGTGGTTCCATCCCCAGTACTACAAAAATAAATCAATAAATCATAAAATTGAATCAACAATCTGATCCCCTACCACACTTGACATTTTGTCCTGACCCTTCTCTGGTCACTGTTTTTCTATCCTTCAGGCACAATAAATCATTGTCCCCATGTCAATAGCCATCATCCCCGTCTAGCCAGAAAAGAGTTTGAGTTGCTGCCAACACTGGCGAGGTGACTTTTGTCACACTCCATCCAGCCCCATCCTGGCTTACTTGGGCCATCCATGTCCTGTTTCCCCTTGGTGTGTTCTGCAGGGCTTCTCAAGCTGACCTACAAAGTTCTCCAAAGCCACTCTAGCTGAGCCCACTATGCACTCGGAAAAACACACCCAGGCACACACAGACTGCACAACCCCATCAGCAGTGCAAGCAGGATGAAGGCCAAGAATTTGGGAATCAGGACATGGTCCTTATTCCAGATCTTCTTTTCTTTTCAGCAAATCACAGCTCAATTCAACCATTTTTCTGTTTGGCATATGGGGAGGGAGATGAAGCCTCTAATTCTTCGTTATATGAGAAAGACAAAGTTAAAGTATGTGAAAGGTACAACCTCAAATTAAACTCTCCATGAGATTAATGATGACAAAATGAACAGGCCTTTTGAAGTAAGTAAGTGAAGCCCAAGGGATTGAAGATACCATGACGAGAAGAGAATCCAGCCCTGGGATACAGGGTAGTATGAGTCGAAAGCACTCAGCTTTAAAAGCCCTGTTACCTTGCAACAGGGGCCAGCAGAGAACAGGAGGGAGAGGGATTGGAAGGCAAGTTAGGGGAACTTCCTAGACTGGTGACTCATACCGAAGCTTCATCCCTGGGCAAGACCAGCCTAGAGGGTGGGTGTAGCAAGCAGCCCAGTCTTAGCAAGCTGGGCCAGTGTAGCAATGCAGGAAAAACAAAATGCCTACCAACCAGGCAGGCTCAGAGCAGGGAACAGGGCCCTGACACGTGGGGAAACAGGACTGGAGGAGGGCATGGATCTGGAGTGCTAGAGAGGCAGCAAATCTAGGTTTTGTGGGGCTTAAGGCAGAAGTCGGCCCTACAGCCTGAACCAGAGCAGTGGGGAAGTAAAGAGTTGAAGGGAACACTGTTCCAAAGATGCCCCCAAAGGACCTGGAGCTGGGCATGGTGGCACAGGCCTGTAATCCCAGAGGCTCCGGAGGCTCAGCCAGGAGGTTGGTGAGTTCAAAGCCAGCCTCAGCAAAAGTGAGGCACTAAATAACTCAGTGAAACCCTGTCTCTAAATAATGTATTTTGTTTAGGGCCAGGGATGTGGTTCAGTAGAGCACTGAGTTCCAGGTCCACTGGGTGTTTCAAAGCCCACCAGCCTCTGGGAGAGTTCAGGACCCTACAGGTGTGACAGTATGACAGTTCCTACTGACAGGAGCAAGAAGTCTTCAACTTCCTCCCAAACCCATTGGGAAAGGTCAGATAGTGGAGCCAATCAAAGGTTCTACTTCAAGGTGCTGGGAGAGGCCACAGGCAAGAACTGATCCAGAGGAATCCCAGCATGTATCACAGCCTTCACTCACATAAATCTCACACATCACAAAGTGGTCTAACCCTTGAAGAGACTYCTTGGGACACATGAAGTAGCCTATTGTTGCAGTATGAGGGAAAGAGAGAAGTTCCTAGGACTTGGAGTGATGTGAATRGTAATGGAACTGAATAAGAGGTGCAGTTAGGAAGGAAGAAGAGGACAGTTTATTTCAGAACAAGCTGGTCCAGCTCTGTCAGTGGTGATTTGTCTCTACTAATAGCTCAGGGTAGGGTGAGATTTGGGAGGTTGTTGCATGCTGAATAGAAGGTTCTATAGGGGCAGGTTTCCTTCAAATGGAACCACTACAGCCCTGACAATAAGACCAAGTGCACAGAAGGGTGACCTTGACTAGGACTGTCAGAGGTCTCCAGTGTGGAGAATCTGCTTACAGGCCAAGTCTGAGCCCCAGATTCAAGTCTAGGTTCTAAGAGTTGTTAACAGTCTGAGCAAGTCCTCTGTGGCTTTTTTTTTTTTTTTTTTTGAGCCTTGGTTTTGTCATCCAGAAACTTGGGATTTACAAGGGCATTACTGGGAAGATTATACTGAAAAATACAAGCAGGGTTCTTGCACAGAACCTGACACTGGAAGCCCTCAGTAAATATTTGTAGTAGTAATGTATTCAGATCAAGATGCCATATGGAGGTTGCAAATGTAGCTTGGTGGTAGAGCCTTGCCTAGCATTTGTGAGGCTC